AGGAAGCGTATTCTAAAATGATACACGATGATAACATTCCACTTGAGATCATCTGGTATATTGATAGCTATGTAGCAAAACTGCAACTATGTAAAGTGATCGAGTAAGTTTCATCTCAGCTCAAAACAATGATTCAGCATTGACCTAAAGCTTTGACTCTCTGCGAGCTGCAATCAGCGTACCCACAGTAAACTCGCTTCTTGCATCAATATTAACAATGTCAGATTGCTTGACAAATTTGGATAAGATCTTAACAACCCCAATCCCATATGGATACATCGTACATTTGAAATTAGTTATATGGGGTTACCTCATCTTCTTACCTTTTCAACTTGTGAATACATTTGGTCTTTGTACAATTCCAGCTACTGCTCTTGTTGCAATTGCATTTTTAGGTTTTATGAGGGTAGGTCAAGAAATTGAGAATCCATTTGGATATTGTGAGTCACTGTTGTCTTTTCACAAATTTATCAACTCTCGTCTTCTTCTAGCCTTAGGGTTTGATCTTGTGGTGATTTTTTTGATTCAGATCTGAATGATCTGGATATGGATTATTTCTGTCACCATCTCATTGCTCCTGAGCTTGCAAAAATTACGTAAGTCTTCAAATCTTCCCTCTAACTTCTATTCCATCTTTTGATCATCTTGTTGACCTTTGTTTCCTTCACAGAGCTTGGCCACCACCTGATCCTTCCGAGTTCATATTTTCTCCTTCCAACATTCCTTTGCTTGATAATCGTGATTTACGCTCTGGTGTGGATCTCCTGAATTCAGGTTTATCAGCTGATCAGCTTCAGAGATTGTTGAGCACTCGTCAATCATCAATGAGTCCTATTGGTACAGTCTAAAACTGACTCTTCTAAAATCACTCAAACTTTAGCATTGGAGTTTTTGTAATCTTTCATGTCCATCACATCTTTCCATTCAATCAACTCATGTATATCTCTCTTAGCCACATGACATGTAAGTCTTATTAATGATACGCATTTCTCATGAACTCTATTATTTTATTTTTGAAAGATATCTTAGCTTATCACTTTATATCATTTCTTAATTATGTGAAGTTATTTGATACTCCTAATCAAATCATTGATATCCCTAAGGTTGCTTGTTTTTACAAAACCTCATATGGTGCAAAGAATTAGAAAGACACCAGTTTTTGATACATTGAATAGGAGCTGGGTAAAGATCACCATTGATTGAAAGGTGTCTAGGCTCTTCCAACTAGTTTACACACAGACCAAAATGCTGAAGCTTCAAAGGGTCATATTTTGTTACCACACTTTACAATTGGAAAAATCCTCACTAAAATTGAAATATCCCCTCCAATCAGAATATTTTGTGCTGGGGTAAACTAGAACAGGACTATTGTTTTGGACTTTTTGTCATCCGATCTTGGCCTTTAATCAAGCCCGCCTACCTTTGTCAACAGTGAGACATAAAGTGATGGTGACTGTGAAACTTCCATATACATGGTAGTGTGTCAGATCAGGTCAGAATATCTCTGAACGAGTCTTTGTTTATCAAGTGCAATGTTTCTTGAGCATACTTGTCAAGGGGTGAATTTCTCATCGAAGGTGAACAGGCTCTTGCCTTGACCATTTGTATAAGATGTTATAGATGTTGGACCCTTTGTTCATTCATTGGCAATTTCTCTCAGATGACTAGGCATAACATCCAAGTACAAATTATGGATGGTGTGCAGGATGTTGAGGTTCTTTTACCACGTCAATACCGGAACATGAAAGAGACTCACAACAAAGGGTGTTCCGTCTGAAGTTCACCAGCAATAGATGCTTGGTCTCCAAGAATGAATGATGAAACGCGACATGCAGAAACACGCGTCGTGCGCAGGCATCCTGTATGTACAAAATGATTTGTGACTTTTGTGAGCAAGCTCAACGCCGTCCAAAATCATCTGCATATGACTGTTAGATGAGTCTGTTAAAATGACGACACAGACCGACACGTAAACCCAACTCAACTATTACTTTCTCCATCTGGTTCTGTCCTCTTCAGGATCTCGATGCGTCGAGCACTATCGAGCACCGGTGGCGTCGAGAGTCCCTTGGGAGCACATGCTACAAACTAGAACTCAAACTTTCATGCAACAGCCTCTGATAAGCTCTGATATCCCTCATCATGTATCGGAAAAACCGTTGCAACCTTTGCTGTCACCACCGCCAACGTGGGCGTATTGCGCAAGCCACTCCTCCGCGTATATGTACACTCAGAGGAAGGCTTAAGCCCCATTGCCTGTCGGAAAGGGAAAAATATCATTCAAGTATGCAGTTCATGATAAATAGCTTGATCTCAACTTGAGATTCTCAAGGCCGCTTACCTTGCCCTCAATCACCTTTCTCCGAATTAAAAGGACTCTCGCATTTTAAATAATAATACTCTTTGAAACAAATACCGTTCACTAAGATAGACAACATGTTCCAATCCTTCTTTTCTATTTTCGCTCTCCAAGTTGCTTGTAACTCCTTTTCAGGAGTTGATGGACGTCAGCAGGCTCGGCTCGTCCGAAGGACTCCAGATCCACCTCTCAACATCAACACTCTTACCGACAAATACACCTTCCCGAAAAACATTCGTTGGGAGTCTGGTACGATCAATAATGCCACTGCACCTTATCTCACGACTGCACCATCGCAAATGCCAGGTGAAATCGATATCAGAGGCGCGGACGATGATGATGATGAAATTTTGACAACCATCAACACAGTAAGTCTAAACTTTGATCGGAATTCCAGTGCGGAAGATGATTGATGTGATCCAAAATCGTACGTTTAGAACGCCGCTAGCTGTGATCCAGCCAGCTACTCAGGAACGGACAAGATGGAATTCGTTTTCCAGAAAGATCATTGGAACATCATCAACAACGGTAAAGGGGGCCCCATTCATTATGGTTACAAGCGTACAGCATCTGCTCCCAAGAATTCACTTGTTGGAGAAGTTAGACTCACCGAATCCCCGTACTCATTAGTGGCCTTGGTCTCAGGTGGGTCACACCAAATCTCATATTACTATCGGCTTATCAAAGGCCACACTGATACAGACTTATTTCATCAATTTGACACTTGGTATATGTTTTTCCTTCCGAATCCGATGATAGACAAGAATGATGGAAAATACACCATTGATGCTGAACCAAACTTAGGACTCCCATCTGTAAGCTGTTCTTAAGATTTCATGAGTCGAGTTGATTGTATGGGATTGAGATTAACTCGACTCTCCACTATGTTGTACAGTGGGATCTCATCTCCTTGATGATCGTTGCAAGCAAACACAACGAGAAATGTTCATAGATGACAAGTTATCTTTGTGAGTCTTCTTGAACCTCCGAACCGTATATATCTTCAAAATTTTCACACTGACTTTTGTCACTCCCCACGAAGCTTTCAGCTATGCTTGTCTAGATTTCATTGATTATCAACGCCATTGTGATTTACGGTCTAGAGTCAAATTCTCTTTGCAGTAGCAGTCTTAGACAATGAAATTCTAGCACGACCATTACAAGGTCAGAACCAAGTCATTCCATGAGCCATAACACTAAATAGGATCTGAAACAATAGTAAGACGCTATGAATATATCCACATTCATATGAGAAATCGATTGGAAGGTTTTATGAGCATTCCTACGTGTTTAAATATCTCTATTTTTGATAAAAGAAAGATTCCTTGACTAAATAAGACAATGGGAGACAACAAACCTGAATATGTCATTACCTTGTGAATGAAGACATTTGTTAGCAATTTGATAACACGAGATATAGGATGAAAAGGCAATCTTGTCTCTTAAATCAATGACGGACCATTGCATTGTGCTCTATTGCGCTGCTGGCAACGGGTTCTGTTGGGTCCCACTTGCCGGTAACACAATTGTCAACTGAAGCCTCCGTTGTGTGCAAGGCGCAAGGCGCAATCATACTTAGACAAATAACAGCCTTTGAACGGTGTTTTTTGGCAACTTGTTGATATTATGATAAAATAACTACTGCAAACTTGTATACACAATTTCAATTAGTTTACTTGCCTTCCTTGAGTTTTCCCCCCCAAATGCCTGAATGGCTTCATTTCCCTCGGTGTACTTATGTGCTAGAGGCACGCCTGGACAAATCCAAAACTCCAAAGCTAAATTGTACTCAATTTTATATGGAACCAAGCTTGATCAGAAAAACATATGTCTGCCACTGCCAAGAAAGTCCTTTTGACTATAGCCAAACTAGCTAGGAGACCCATATAGTCTTGTGCTAGAGCGCCAAAAATTGCAAAAAGAGTTATTGTCAGGATGTTAATGAATGAAAAAAGTTATGAGAAAGAAATGAAGACTTACCCTTTACCATGACAGAGCGGTCTTGCAATCTCTTGCATTTTCTGTAGCAGCCATGGGGTGTGTCCCCTTCAATTAGGAAGCCACTTTGTCCAGCTAAATTTGTTGCTCTTTAGACTTGAAGAGCTGGAATTCACTATTCAATTTGGACTTGCTCGAGTTTGATGTAGAGGGTACTTCTGCTTCTTTAGTTTGAACCGTTGAGCCTATATCAGTCTTACACTGGTCACATCTCATTTGGAAGAGGTTTTTGGCAAGTATTGTATAGCAATTACGGGATACAAAGTAGAAGCCGGGCACATGCCCAGCTTTGTGCCCAGATTTTTTTTGGCAGTAAATTTGAATTCTGGGCCCGGACTTTTGCCCAGAAAAGCAAAATTTACTGCCAAAATAATTCCAGGCACGAAGCCAGGCATGTGTCCGGCTTCTACTTTGTATCCCGCAAATGCTGTGGTCCAAATTCTTGGGTGTAAAATTCAAGTCAAAAGGATAGATTGACAAGGCTGGCCATTAACCTTGTATCACAATTCATAGCTTCTTTGAGGTATTTGTTGATGCAGGATTGCAAAAGTTACATTGAAAAAATCATTGGTAGAAGATCTTCTTCAATTTGAAGTCCTTTTGCCCAACAGGCAAGGTGAGCCTTGAGCGCATGGAACTCAGGTATAACAATGGAGCCAGTTGATCCATCACCCTCCAGATGCTTGGTGGGCTTGAGGAAAGGCTCTTCAGAAGTATTGGTCATCAGTGAGACCATCAAATTGAGAAAAAAAACAATCAGCTTACTGCAATCTCAAGAGCCAATTGATGAAGATGTCAATGACTTTACCAGACCAATTAAAACATTGGGGTGGTTGGGTTGATTTCTTGATTCACTGGTATGGAATGCATGATTAGTGGTGGAAGTTGTTTCTGGTACAATATTCACAGAATGTTGGGTCTCTTTGTCAAGCTAACCCTTGGTATCTGTGTTGTATTCTGAAGTGGCAACTTCAAATTTGTCTCCTTCCAAGTCATGATCAGTATCCTCTTGTTCAGGTAGCAAAGGTGCCTTGTCAGCTTCAAAATGAGCACTGGCCTCAAGGATTATAACTTCTGAGACTGTGGTGTGGCTTTCCTTCTTGTCTTCTTTGGCAATGATTTACGTTTGTTTGGAGATAGTAAATGACCCTAATACACTTCCACACTGTTAATCCTGTGAAGGTATTTCAAAACCAAGCTCTATCAAACCACCCTGACAGTTGATGACAACTTATGAAATAAAGGCCAAGCCTACTTGGTTTGGGGGTTCCACATGTAGGACTGAGCTGTATACTTGAAATTTCATCTTCATTTTCCAAAAGCTGAGTGTGCATCTCTTCAGCTATTGTGATGTGCTTTGACCCAGAGCCTCTCACCTGGGCAATCATGTGGAAATTTGGAAAGGGGGGAGAGAAAATAAGATCCAACAAAAGAAAGAAACAAAGGAAAAAAGGTTGAAAAACCAAGATAGACCAAAATAAGCTGATTGTCTTAGGTTTGATCATGAAGAAGGAAAAGTATCTTATATTGAAGATTATGCTCCTTCATGAAATGTACTAATAGTGGTGCAAGGCATTCCCATTATGATGCCAAGCAACTAACTTCAGAATTATATGTTGGACTTGGCAATTCCAAACGTTATCAATAAATTTGACCACAGCACCTATGAATGCATGGATATTGTTTGTGGTGGTGCATCCATTATGGATGAGGGTGAATCTACCTGCATTCCCTGGGCCCTACCAGAGAAACAAAATGGTTGTCAGTGATGAAAATTTAAAAGGGCCATTTAATAAAGATGTAAAAACTCACAGTAATTTCCATCAGGACACTTGCTGGAAAGGATACATACAGCCCAGCTGCTTCTATGGCCACTCATGTGTGGCAGAAGTTCTTTATATCACATTGAATTTAGCAAAAAGCAACCCAGGGAGAATGATCATCCTTTCAATTCCAAGGAAGTGCATGAGACAAGATCCACACCATAAGACTCTGGTGGAAGATTTCATTTTTGACAGGTGGTGTTTTTTGTATCAAAGAACTTAGATATATGAAGCTAGTCTCTCTTAGAATTCCTTGCCTCAATATTGAAAGCTGTCAGTGGAATGTTTTCCCTACCTTTGACTGCATCATATCGGCCTTGACATGGTTTTTGACGGTGGCCAACTGTGTATCCATCACATTGATTCTTCAGGTTAGAATACAAATCTGCAACAATACATATTTTTTTTTTGGCACCAGAGACAGAGATATACAAGAGGTTTCATTGCTTTATTCTGTTAAATGCAAAGATAATGATATTATAGAGATACACGAATGATTGTGTACTGTAAATGAACCTGTATTTCGTACAGGGAGCATAGTGTAGTGGCTATCACGCTTCATTTGCATTCATGATTCATCGCATCTTGAAGAGGTCCCGGGTTCAATCCCCGGTGCTTCCACTTTTTGGCGATTGAATAGGATGCATTTGGTTAGTCTGACCCTGGTAAGGATGGAGTAATTGATCTTCTTTGGTTATAAGAATTCTTTGAGTAAGGTGATGAAAAAAAATGTGAAGAATTATGATGAGATCTATTTTGATAGTGTTAATTGTTTTTGGTTAAGAAGATTGAAATATTGTTGATATATCTCAGACTTGGTTCTAGTGTGGCAAAAAACCAAGACCTCTCATGGCAAAGAATAAAATGTAAGAGATTTTGAAAACAGACAACACATATCATGATTGATATGATTTAATTGTATCAGTGGTGATTTGATTGATAGGCTTGGTCTTGTAAATTTGGATGGTGAAGAGATTGGAAAAGAAATGATGACTTATGTGGTAAGGGCTTGAAATTTATTTGGATTGTCAATCATTTCAGTCAAATGATTTTTCTTATACAATAGTGATTTGAGTTTTCTTGTAATAAAGAAGTATATTTGGATTAAAATGTTTGATACATAAAATGATCAGAATTGAGAGTTGTGCTTCATTGAGTTTGATTTTCTTGTTCTTCTTGGTCTGAGGAAAAACATCAAGTCTGTATTGAAAAACCAAATGGTGGTTTTTTGGTTTAACAAGTTTGTAATATACATAAGTTGAGTGTGGGTTTACTTGTAGCTCAGCCTCCCAATCAAACCAAAAACTCCATTTTTTTCTAGACAAGCCGATCTCATACTTTGTACAAGCTGATTATTTTGATTTTTAAGATCAGAATGAAAGATGAATAGGAATCAAGTTTTATGAATTTTAAGATGCTCTAATTCATTTCACTACAAAAAGAATAATGATGAATGAATCAAGTAAGATTGCAAATAAATAAATACCATGAACAAATCTTTTCATAAAGATAATACATGATCATAGATAAGTTTATTAACATCAATGATAATGTGAGAAGATTTTTGTACAACACAAACTCATGTCTTATGTAGACAAGATACACAAAGTCTGATCAAAGATTGTATATATAGAAAGAGTTAAACAGAACAAAGTGTCAAGTATTTGGCAAAAGATTTCCCACGCCCAGAGTCAAAGAACAAAGATCAAGTGATCTTCTTTCAAATTCTCCAACATTTGTATCTCAAGTTCTTGGATCCAATGACTACTACAACATAACTTCAAGTATGTATGGACCTGATCAATTCTTTGTTTTCTAGAAGTGTGTAGGAATTTGAAATAAGATTTCTCATAGTATACCCAGAGTCAAAGAATGAAGATCAAGTGATCTTCCTTCAAATTTTTTGACATTTGTGTCTCAAGTGCTCGGACCCAATTACCACTACTGCATAAGTATGTATTGGTTTGGTTAATTCTTTGTTTTTGTCAGATCTCCCTGATTAATAAGTTCTTCTTTCTTTCATGCAATCTCCCTTAATGATCACACAAAAATACACTTCTGTATTCCAAAACTGAGGGAAGATGAGCACTAAGCGTGACTTTCTGTTGATTCTCAGTTGTATGTACAGTCAGTTTCACAAAGCTTGGAAAGAATTCCGCGCCAATTTGCCCAAGTTTGGCGGGCAAAAGTTTCCAAGCTTTCTGAAATCGACTGTAAATAATTCAAGCACTGCATTACAGGTTGATAAACTAATATCACAAAGTGATCTCAAGGGTTCAAGAAAGATAAGAAAAGGCTGTGTTGAATACTTGATTTGTAGATATGTACAATAAGGATCGGATGATTAATGTGAATTGGTGTGAGTGAGAAGAATCGATAGAATTTACAAAGTGATGAATACTGAGCTGTGCAGTGTGCACAGTGACAATGCGCGAGGAGGTGGGGTAAGTTTAAATTGAGTTTTGGATCCATAATTACAAAACCTGTATTGATTGAAACCATACAGGTGCAAAATGACGTGATCCGTTCGGAACGTCGAGGAACTGCACTATTTAATTAAATCAATTGAATACAGGACTATACAGGATCAGAAATTATGTGGGGACCCCATCAAGTCCGGGGAAGTGTATCGAAATTAGAGTTTTTTTTTTTGATGTTTGCCGAAAGGCTGCGTAGCTCTTCGGCATTGGACCGACCGAATGTTATGAGGTTTTGTATGAGAATTGAAGGTCTTGTAAAGAAAGGCTTTTGGTAAGTTTTTTTCGCCTTATTTCTTTTTGAATTAAAAGAGAGTTAAGTGATGATGAGATGCACAAATTTAATTTTGTTCGTTTCGAAGGTACAGTTTGAATTGAGCAGCGAGTAGTAAAGTTGAAAAAAGCCTAGAAAGAAAGAAAGAAAGAAAGAAACAAGTTCAAGTTTTTAATCTAGAACTTAATCTTCTCCCCACCAAAACCAAAACTCACTCACACAGTCTGAGTGTCAAAATTCCCAGAGTTTGATCAAGTTTTCTCATTCCGATTTTACAACTTCTCGATCTCCGACAAAGCAAATACACCAAAACCATCTTAGCTCCCTTCCAAATCAAACCTGATTCATTTTACAATCCGAACTTTTCCGAAAGAAATCTTAAGAAATACAAACTCATCTTTTTCTGATTTGATTTGATTTGATTAGATTAGATTACAAGATTAAGAATCTTAATCTGATAAACAAATCCAGCATTTTAACTTTTTCTCTTTTTTTTTTGATTTGTTTTGATTTGAATTTACCACTATCCGCATACATTCTTAATATTTATCTGCATCTTCCATCAAAATACCCTTCTCGAGAGCTGTTTACCACTATCATCGAGTGAGTTACCGATCGGTGTAGCAGTTTATCAGACTTTACCAATCTCAAAATCAAAACATCAGCCCAATAACCCTCGCAACATCACCCTCGCCACTTCACTTCAAATATCAAATCACACTTCATCTCAATATCCGATCAAAATAAAGGAGAACATTAAACCCATTACCCTATCAACCAAACAAATCGATTGACCATGTTCGCTCAAGATCCTACTCATCATTCTCATTCTCATTCTCAACATTCTCAATCTCAACCACCCAGAAGACTTGAAGGTTTTCACGTCTCACCTACTCCTATACCAATTCATCAATCTCAATCTGAATCTCAATCTCAACCAATGTTACATCAACATCAACAACAACAACATCATAACAGTAGTAGTAGTCCATTTAATCATCTAAATGGATTCGGTTCTGATTTCGGTTCTCATACATCTGCTCGTCTGAGTGATAATGAATTATTAGAATCATTAATCGTTCAAACTTCATCTTCCTTTAATTTTGAAGATCCATTAAACACTTCATTCTCCGCTACTCCATCTAATCATGATCAATTATCAAATCAAAATACATTTCAACCACAACCACCACAACAACAACATACACCATTACGAAGTTTACCACGTCATCTAGATCAATCTACTTGTTCTCCTTCGATTTCTAATTCAGCTTTATCTCCAAATGATATTTATTCACCTACTTCTGGTTATAATTCATCTGGTCCAACTCATCATAATGATATGTTTGCTGAACACCATTATGGTAGTTTCTCATCTGCTCCAACCGAAGATTTACCACGTTCAGGTCGTACAAGTTCGATGAGTGGTAAAGCACCTGCACCTAGATCTAGATCTGCTCGTAGACCATCTGGATCATTCCCATCTAATCATCCTAACAATGGTGGATCTCGTAATTCGTTACTTTCAAGATCTTCTGCTCTAAGTATTCCGAATGTTGGAAATCTAGAATCAGAAAGACCAATAGCGATCTCAGTACCAACTTATTTAACTTCATTAAACTTAGGATCAAATCGACCAAGTAAAACTGCTTCACCTGATCCAGGTGGTTGGTCAATTTCAAATCAAATCGAAAGAAATGGAAACGGGAACGGAAATGGAAACGGATTAGGACAATATGAACCATCTGGTTTTGGTTCTTCTCCTGCTGATTCAATCTTATCTCATCAAACTCAAATCTTAGGTCCTTCAATGATGAAAGATGAAATTAGTTCTTTGATTGGTAGTCCAGTCTTTAATGGTAAATCTGGATCAGTTGAAGGTCATCAAGATTTAAATAATTTAGAATCCAAGTAAGTGATCAGTTTTTGATTTGATTTGATGATAAGGAAATGAAAGATTTCAAAAAATCATTAATCAATAATTTCTTATTGTTTTCTTTTTCGTAGTAATGTAGTTTTGAATGAGAAAAGAAGAAAAAGAAGAGAATCACATAATGCAGTTGAAAGAAGAAGAAGAGAAAATATAAATGATCGAATTTCAGATTTGTTCACACTTTTACCTCCTTGTATGATAGAAGGAGGAAATGGAACACTAGAAGAAGAAAGTAGTAATGGTAATCAAGATCAATACGGGAATTCTAATCTGACTTCTTCAAACAATCTTAATAATCCTAAACATAATAAAGGATTTATTTTGACTAAGTTGAGTTTTTGAGTTTCGATTTGATGTTTTTGGTTTTTTGGGTTATGGGTTTCTTGAGATGATTTTAAGAAAACTAATTTTCATCTTTTTCTGCTGCTTTGTTAGATCTGTGGAGTATATCAAACAACTCAAAGATATGGTCTCACAACATATTCAAGAAAACCATCAATTAAGATTAGAAATCGAATTACTTAAGAACCAAAACCAAAACCAAACTGTTAATTCAAATTCGAAACCTAATGATGTTTTTTTAGTGAATCATAATCCACAACAACAACAACAACAACAACCGCATTCATCAAACCAATGGAATCATCATAACCATCATCATCATCATCACCATCATCCTGATGAAGGGTTTATGAATCTTGAATCATAATGAGAAGAAAAAAATTATCTCTTTTTTTTACTTTTGTACATGAAGATACATAACTTTTTTTTTGGTTACTGTTTTTTGTTTTACTTTTCTTTTATATATATATATCAGAAAGAAAGAAATCCAAATGAATGGCCGGTGTACTATTAAGTTTTTTCTTTGCCGTTTTTTCTAGTTTTGTTTTCAGTTTTTTCTAGTTTTTTTAGGTTTCCTTTTTTTTAGTTTTTGTCTCTAAGTAGTAAAGTTTTCATTTTTTCAGTTTTTCTGTTTTTTTGTTTTTGATCATTTTTTTTTTTCGTTTGAAAGGGGTTAAAGAAGAGATGAAATATGTGTACATAATAATAAGAATAGCGGTGTACAAACCTACAACCCAACATGAAAACCCATGAAAAAAACCCATGAAAACCCAACTTCTTCATGGGTTTTTTTCATGGGTTTTTTCACATGGGTCGAAATCGTCTAGATCTCACCACCCGTTTGTTGAAAAAAATAGTTGTGTTCGATATATGTAGACTCAACCAACCCCACCCCTTCTTGGTCAACGCAACACACCCAAATAACACAAATCCTTACAAAATAAACATATGCTGCTTGTCTAAATACCTGATGTATGCTGATTTCAAAGTTTCCCTCTCTTCGGTTTGTTTCAACCTTTGCAATTTGAAGAATTCAAAAGTGATTGTTTTATTTCAAACGATCGCACAATGTATCGTTTTACTTCAAACAAAAACTGATCTGAATTGCCTTTCAGACCTTTGACATGAGACTTTTGAAATGAAGACATCGTTTTCAATAAAAAAACATATCGTTTCATCTCAAAAAGAAACTGTTGAAGTTGGCTTCTAAGACTTTGAGATGATACTTCTAAAGCGAAGATATTGTTTTCAGTCAAATGCAAACGAGATTGTTTTATTTCAAAAAAGCACAAGATATCGTTTTATTTCAAACAAAAAGAGATGAAACTTTCAAAACTAAAATTTCCTTGAAGTAGTGTGAGATTCAAATCAAGAAAAACCTTTATCAATACAAAAAGCGCGGTGGTTGAGCTGGATGCAAAAAAGAGAGATGTGGAGTAAAGTTAAGGCCTCAAGTGATGACAAGAGCAGCGTGTGGCCTGTGACTCAACTTTCAAGACATGTTTTAGGAGTTGGGGCGTTCAAACCTTTCCAGGGCGACCCATGAAAAAAACCCGTCAGAAAAACCCATAAAGAAGTTGGGTTTTCATGGGTTTTTTTCATGGGTTTTCATGTTGGGTTGTAGGTTTGTACACCGCTAATATAAGAATAAGAATAATAATGATTTTATATATAAATATATAAAGTTTCTTTTCTGAGCTATTTTTTTTGACATTTATTGATACATGACTTTTTTTGATTACAAAGCAACACAAGAAATGGTTTTGGATGATAGTTTTGCAAAACTTGTAAAAAAAAATAGTTGATGAACATCATTATGATTTGATTCAAAAAACTTATACAATAGTAGTACAAAAGGTACAAACCACAAATGACCAAAGAAAAAAAAGTTTGAAGCATTGATAGATTTGTTTTTATCAAACAAACAAAATAAACCAAATCTTGGATGAGAAATTGACCTTGACTGAAACAAATTTGAAAGATTTCTTTTCAATCAACCAACAAACAAAAAAAAGTTCTTTGAACCTGGATTGATGAGTGATGGTGTTCCAGAAGGAGTGGAAGCATCAAGGATTGAACTTAAGACTTCTTCAAGGTACAATGAGATATAAATGAAAGTGAAGTGCAATACATGGCCATTAACATACCACCCTGGGCAAACAGGTGATGCATCACCCGTAGTATTGCCTGGGTGCTGACCTGGGGCCAAGGGGGGGGGGGTTCAAAACCCAAGTGTCAGTGAGACACTATATACAGTGTCACTGTCACCTGTTTTCTTTGGGTGTATGCTATGCTCCCCTCTTGTAACAGAACAAGGGATGCATTCTTTTCAATTTTGTTTTGCCAATACAGTTGTTCCCTGTAACCAAATTTCAACTTCCATAAATGTCTTTTCTTTCTTCAGGAAGCTCCAACAACACTTGACGCAACCTGCTGCAAAAAAATGGGGTTTTAGCTCCCAACTGACCCACAACCGCTGTCCCTTTGAGATTATGTACATGTTGGATCAGGAAATCAGTGTGGTGGACGGGGACCACTTTCATGCCCCACAGCCACCTCTCAGAGCAGTATGCAGCGGATCATGTCAGATGGACAGACATTGAGATGGCTGCCACTATCAGACTACTATCAGACCATCATTTGACATCTCATCTATCTCTCATCACTACGCAGCCTACATGGTCACCACTTTGTCTGCAGGCACCATCACATCATATTCAAACCATTGCCAAGGAAGCCTATCAAAAACTTGATGAAAAACCTTCCAATATGTGCAAAATTGCACTTCATCTCTGGCCAAAATCTTTACCAAACCAATGCTCTTTCTTCCATGGTATCTTACTTTGAGTCAAAATCCAAACTAATGTCAGCACCCTTTTCCTTTGTTGATTTGATTGTCACAATTGTGTATCAGACATGGGTGCTTAAAACCTGCTTTGATTCAACTGACACATTGAATATTTCTTCCATACCTATTGGACCAGAATACAAGAATGGAATGATATCAAACAGGACTCTGAGATCAAAGTGATTGAATCTTTTCATGTGTTCCCAAAGCCTGAGACAGTACTCAACAGTCCATTTCAGTGAGTAATGTGTAAGTTGTAAGGATTATGAGGTGTCACAGACATTTCATAGAGTGACAGCTCTTACAGAGCTGCCGTGACAATTAGAGATTGGTAGCACACAGGAAAACTTTGTATCTCCTCTGTGTTGAATTCTACCATGTTCTCTCAGGATCTCACCTCCTAGGTGATCAACCGTCTACTGTGGTGGACCAGTCTTCAAATAGACTTAAGTTGATTAACTTTGAGCAGACACATAAGGTTCAAAAGGAATCCCTTAACTTGTATCTTCTAAGTCCTAAGAGTCCTGAACCACATGTTATGAACTGAAATGGATTGGGTATTTTTTGTGCACAAAAAGGGTGGGTTCCCAGTTGCTTGAGTACATAAGGTACAAACTACAAATTACCAAAAAGGAGGTTTCAAGCATCAATAAATAATGTGGTTTATCAATCAAACAAAGAAACAAAATCTCAATTAGAAATTGGATTTTTAACTGGAAGAAATGCAAAAGCTTTCTTTTTCATCAAAGGAAAAAGCTCTTGGTCCCGGAAATGACAAGTTTCAAGGGAATCAAAAGAAATGGAAGCACCGGGGATTGAACCCGGGACCTCTTCAAGATGCGAGGAAACATGAATGCAAATGAAGCGTGATAGCGACTACACTATGCTCCCTTGTGCTGCTTCGTGCCTCCCGAAGATTCACTACCAATAAGTGGTGTCATAATTGAACTCTCTGGTATGTATATACTGCTTATTCAGGCTTCCCTGTTAGAAATCTAGTTAAGGTATTTTGAAAACTGATTGTGGGGTAAAATTGAGTATTCCAGGGTATACAGGAGCATGCTAGGGATATTTTCAAGTCTATTTGGTACAGTCAATCTCACAAAGCTTGACAAGAATTCCAAGCCAAATCACTTGGATTTTGCTGGCAAACCTCAGTTAACCTCTTTGGGATCTACTGCATGTTAAATCAGGCTGTCTTGACCTTTATGTATCTTCAGTGAAAATGTTTGGTGGATTGGAATGGAACTCAGAGTTTGAATCAAATTTGTTCCTATTTAACCCAAAGAAAAAATGGCTATCATGGACTTTGGAATCCCAAAGCTGAAAGTTTGGACTCTGGTTACATTTATGCTGTGCTGTCAATGGTTGGAAACAAACTCATGGTTTGATTGTCAGATTGTCAGCAGATTGTCATTTTTTTATTGTTAATGTGACATCCTACTCGCTAGTCTAAGTGAAATATTCATGACACGCCTGTATAATCAATGTACCACAATAGCATCACTTCGCGGAAAAGTAGGAACCTCAAAACTGCAACCAGAATATTTCAAAGTTGTTACCCCTCAGCACTTTCCTTGCTATACACCTCCTGTTATATATCATGTCAGATATAGGCTTCTGATTTGGTAACTTTGAGTTACATTATATCGGGTGATTGAATCCCTTGTCTTTGAAAAGTGTTGACATCCAAAAAATCGAGTCTTTCTTCTCATCTGATAGATAGGGGAAGGCGTGAGGATACTGTTAAACAAACCCTCATCAAATTTGGTCTTTTAATAGATGTCAAATCTTCTCTTGTATGACAGATCAATTCATCATTTAGCAATGGGGTTGGGTTGAAATTGTATTGTTCAATGCTGCTACAATCAAGTCGCATTTTATTCATTTCTTACATTGCAGTGGTGACGAGAATCAATGAAAAGAGAGTATTTAAACATGTAGTTGTGATAGCTTCATGAGAATTGAGAAATGAGAAATGAGAAATGTTAGTGTCGAAATTTGAAAAAAAGATACAAATCTAAGGTTTTGAAAAGACTTACAAATATGTCATGTTGATTCATCTACTATTTACATTTTTCGCTGTGTTTGCTTGCAACAATCATCAAGGAGACGAGATCCCACTGTAGAAGAGTATTGATTAAATTTCATATCTCATACAATCAATTCGACAAAACCTAAGAAGAACTTACAGATGGGAGTCCTAAGTTAGGTTCAGAATTGATAGGATAATTTTATGAGATGTAGAGTGACCAACCTGAGATCCGCATCAGAAATGTTAGAATGATTCGGTGAGTCTAACCTCTCCAACAAGTGAATTCCTGGGAGCTGATGCTGTACGCTTGTAACCATAATGAATTGGGCCCGACTTGCCGTTGTTAGTGATGCTCCAATGATCTTTTTGAAACACATATTGCATCTTGTCTGTTCCTGTGTAGCTTGCTGGATCACAGCTAGCGGCGTTCTAAACGTAAAATTTGAGAACATATCAATCATCGGCACTGGAGTTCTGATGAATAGTTAAACTTACTGTGGTGATGGTTGTTACAAGCTCACTAACATCATCCCCCGCACCTCTGATATCGATTGCACCTGGCGTTTTAGATGTGACAGTCGTGAGATAAGGAGCGGTGGCATTATTGATCGTACCGGACTCCCAACGAATGTTTTTGGGAAAGGTGTATAGGGCGGTAAGAGTGTTGATGGTGAGATCTCTTTGAACGAGATTGACCTGCTGACGTGCATCTACTTTTGAGAAAGAGGCACAAGCAGCTTGGATGGCGAAAATAGCAAGGGTGTATTGCAACATGTTGGTTAACGTAGTGATTGGTACGTGTTTTGAAGAGTGTGATGATTTGAGATTCAAGAGTTGCGGAAAAGGTGATGAAGGTAGGCGTGACCAACTGGCAGTAAGACCAAGGTATTTATATCAAATTCCAGACTAATTTACCATTATCTTTTCCTCTATGCGAGAGGTGATAGGGCGCGAGCCACCCTATGATCAGTTTACCCTTGTGAGTGCTTACTGAGTTACGCACAGTAGTAATGGCCAAGGAGGGTCGCACATGCTGTATGGGGACACATTCATCCATTACATGAATGAGGTTTCCGTGATAGAGAATAACATTTCGAGGGTTCAACTTCAATTGCGGTATGCTACCACGTGCTCCCGACGCATGGAGCTCCTGATGAGGAGAGAAGATGGAGAATCTGATAGTTAAATTTGAGTTGAGTTGGCATGTCGGTGTAAGAGCATCCACAGTGGTGGGCTCCAAAAGGACTCAGGAATGTGCCTAGAGAGGTATCTGATGTAAATTCCGACGTTTTGTTGGCGGGTTTTGAGGGCACTAAACGACACATTCACAGCACCTACAGTAGTGCAAAATGTGCGTGACATCAAAGGCTTTCGTTTAAGCTAGCTTTCAACCTCATAGCACAAATACTTCCTGAGATAATGGGATGTAACGGTCAAAAAGAGCCTTAAAATCGAACGTCGGAATCAGGCCTTGGAGGCACGAAAAAAAATTGCGCCAATCGATTTTGCGCGAAAGTGAGGGGAGTTGAGGGGCTGGGAGTAGGCTCATTTGATAGCCCTAGTCCATGCGCATCTTTTGAAGTGCTCTGGACCTTGAGACAAGGAGTGGTGTGTTGTGTAGAGCCCAAAAACTGAAAAACAGGTTTCATCAGATACCTCTGTAGGCGCATTCCTGGGTCCTGCTCCAAATCGGGGCTCCAAATCGAGCGAATTCAAATTTGGTGGGGCCCCAAATCAATCCGGATGCAGTCGTTCGGACTTCAAAAGTGTAGATTCTATGTGTTTACACACACTTTGAGATCGGTACGCGTGGGCTTACATGTGTGAGGTATGGGATTGAACAAGTGCGGGAATTTGGAGCCCGGCTTTTTGTTGCCAAATATGTAGCCCAAAGCTCGAAATTTGAAGCCGGCTACAAAAAAATTTGGCGATGGGGACTGCCATTGCACCAAAAAATTGGGGCTCAGTCACCAAATTTGGCGATAGCCCCGATTTGGAGCCCACCACTGTGGATGCTCTAAAGGAAACTCAACCAAATGTTATGAACCTCCGTCATCTTCTTCAGCAGTCGTGCTGGATTAACCTTGCTCACAAATCATTTCTCAGTATGCTTGGGTACAACTCATCTTCTGCTGTTGAACTGCAGTTCCTCATGATTCTTGAATCCATCCCTTTCTTCACCTGCCCCTCTCAGCCCTGGAAGTCTATCTACAGTCATCCTCATTCTTGAGGGATTTATACCTGAAGGAATTTTCCTTGTTGAAGAAAGGGTCTAATATTTAACATAAACTGTTACAAATGAACAAAGCAAGACCCCGTTCACCTTCGAAGAGAAACTCATCTTTTGACAAGTACGCTCAGGAAATATTACACCTGATGGACAAACAAGCATTTCTCAAAGATACTCTGACCTGATTGAACACACTGCTCAATGTAGGTTTTGAAATCCTCACCATCGCCGTCAGCCCATGCCTTCACGTTGGCAAGCTTAGTGGAAAGGAAGAGAATGGATAGAATACACTCCAAAGCAGTCAGCATGTCTTAATTCGACAACCAAGTTGATTTATATCTTTACCTGAGCATGATGGATCCAAGTGGATATCTCAAGATAGTGAGGCTTGTTCCAGATATAAAGTGCGGTAGCAAAAAGCCATTTGTGTCACGTGCGATGACTCATTGCTGCTTCATCAAGTTGGTCAGCATGTAAACTACTTGAAGGTTTACTGGATGCCTTACATCAGTCTCTTATCACAGTAAAAATTCCGTTACATCAAGCTTTATGCTTCTGTTGGATGCATCAGAACTTATCTCTTTGTATCTCCTTTACAATGTAATAGGTTTTGTACATGTAAGAGGACATTCATTAAATACTTTCAATAAGCTCGAGAGAAGGATATGGCTTCATATGATAAAGAAATGCTAAAAAATAAGACAAGAAATGATGTGAAAATTGTGCAATATCAATCAGATTTATAAGTTCCATATGGTTTTTGGGGAAACATTTTCCTCTGGCTACGAAGGGAAGAACAAGATGTTATAAGATTTGATCAACATGGTAGCTTACACAAGATACCAATGCTGAAGTTTGATTAATTTAAGAAGAGTCTGTTTTATCACACTTAACACAGTTCCTCATTAGGGGGTTTCAAGTTAGATTTTTTTGTGTGTTTTTACGCTACAACAACTTGCCCGTTGTTTTAAAATAAGGGGGCTCAAGTTGAAATATTTACGGCCCTTTCTTCAAAAATTGGGGAAAGTTTTTTACGGTACCGTGCTGTAAAAACTTCTCCCAATTCATAAAAAAGGACCAATTTTTTTTTTGGATCTCCTTCTGAGCAGTAAATTTACGCAAATTTGCTGCTTAAAAAAATTTGGGATGTTGTATAACATTTCCCAATAGGGGGTTTCAAGTCAATAAATTTACGGTATTTTACAGTCCAACAAGTTGTCCGATGTTGCAAAATATACCGTAAATTTAAAAAAATTGGGACACCTTTTTAGGTGTCCCGAATGGTGTTGACCGTATATTTGCAGAAAAAAAACCCACTGTAAAATCTAAAAAACTTGTCCGTTTTTTAAAAAGTTTCACAAAAAAATTCTGACTTGAAACCCCCTAATTTCATAAAATTTTGCGTAAATTTTATGAAATTGGGAAAAGTTTTTTACGATAAAAGTAGTAAAAAAATTTGACTGAAGCCCCCCTAATATGCGTAAATTTTTTACAGCGGGACACCTTTTTAGGTGTCCCGAATTAAAAATACATGGTTTACGAAGATTTTTCTTACAAACAAGTAGTCCGAATTTATAAAAATTACGCAAAAGAAAATTGAACTTGAAACCCCCTATTATGAGGAGCAAGGGAATTTGATGAGTTTGCGGCTTCATACTCTCCTGATAGAAATGTTGGTGAGTTTGTCTGCATCAGGATGAAAAATGTCATCCATGCTGTACAAAGGTAATCTTATTACGTTCACAAACAATAAACATTATCCCATACACCCAAGAATCAAAGGGTACTGAATCAGTACACTTATAATATCTCTAAACACGGTCCGAACGATTACCAACCATCCTTACGTTATGTAGGTCAAATTTAACAAAGAGTATTGATAGCGTTAAGAAAGGTATTGTAGAAGAGTTGTGGAGAAAACCTGACCAAGAAGATTGCTCAACAAGTCAAAACTGAGCAAGCTACTCAAAGGGCTTCTAAGATTGTTAGTTACATAATTGATTTATCTGAAGGGTAAAGACTCAACAGCCAGTTTGAGAATGAATGATTTTTTGGAAAAGTGCATCATGGTGTGAAAGCGGGTATTTGTTTTGATCAAGTTTTGTTTCTCTGATGATTTTGAGAATACGGAGGGCAAATACAAGCCCTGTAAAAACAATTTTTGATTGGTTTTGACCCTTTTGAATCACCGTGGCAATGCAAATTTTCAAAAGCTATAGGTTTTCACAAAGTATGGGCTAGCAAGATTTTCTGTAATAACCCATACAAGTGGATTTGTGGGTTATTGCAGAGATTCAAGACTAAGTTGAGACATGATTGTGGAGCACTTTCATTACATATTCAAGATGATTTAGAAAGGAAAGACAAAAGGGTAGGCTGTATTAGTGTTTTGGAGTGTGCTGCACTAAAGGCCCACACATCATCAATGAATTTCTCTTCAGCTTCAGAGAGGGCCTTCCCTTCACTGATCATCAGCTGGCATAGAGAGATTGTGCACTGAACATCCTCAATTTTCAATCTAGCAAATTCTTCTTCAATCTTTGAGACAGAAAAAGTTGATAAGTCATTAGGAAGAATTTTTTGGTAGAAGAAATTGTATTGAGCTTTGATGATTTGTGTGGAATGGATCATGGATTAAAATGGCTACAAATAGCTTTGCAGACGTGCCTCAAGATTCTCCTGTGTGATAAATATCTGATATTTTTCCTGGGGGGAACTATGGCTTTTTTTGTCTCTAGTTTTCAATAAAAATGTATGGGTTAAGGGAAATGGTAGAGTCATGGGTTTCTGAACCATTTCCCTCCCCTATAAAAATATGGAGCCAAAAATATATGGGCTAAGGTAGAGCATGGGTTGTTGGGTGTATGGGTCATTTCAGAGGCAACTGTATACAGTCAAGTGCGGGAATGAAGTTAAGTGTGAATTTGACTGGATGTTTTGAAATCAGTTTCAGGAGGACCCTGGCTTTCTGCTATAGATGCGTCTGATCTAAAATCCGACGATTGTTTTAAATGTTTATAGGGTGTGGACGCATCACACTACGCTTTTACAACAGCTACAGTGGTGCAAACGATGCGTATAGACAAGGGCTTTCGAATGGACTAACTTTTAACCCTTTAACACTACTAGTTCATGAGATATTCCAATGTAACAGCGAAAATTCAATGGTTGGGTTTTGGCCTCAGAGGTCAAGAAAAATTTTGTGCCTTTGCATTTTACACCGCAGTGAGGCACGTGGCAGAGCCACGACTGGGCTCATCCAATAGCCCCAGTCCATGCGCATCTTTTGAAGTGCTTTGGAGCCTGAAGGTGTGACTGGTGTGTAGTGTAGAGCCCAAAAACCAAAAATTGGGTCAGATCAGACGCATCCATAGGCAAAAGCCAGGGTCCTGTTTCAGGTGCAACAGTTGGGGCCAGTCATGCTACTCATGGTGGCCCTGAGGCCTGGATTGCATTTTCTTGATCCCAATGTGTGGGACACAAGAAAAATTGAGAAGAACTACTGAAAGGGCAATTACACTTGGTGCTGAGCTACTCCACTGGAGTTCTCCCCTACTCTGTTGTTGAGAGAAAGTGATAACCAAAACATGAAAGAAAAAAATTGAACCACATAAAACTTAATACCTTGTTTATCAAAATGGTGGTGGGCGGGAAAACAAAAAACTAAGGATCCGTTCGGATTGTTTTTGCATATTATGTGCCCTGAAATCAAAATTTTGTTTTGCCCCTATATGAAGGGGCAGATAGAGATAGTTGTAATTTGGATATTGAGATTACCGAACAGATATCCAAAAGAGGTCAACAGACGTCTATTGACTTCCGTTGATGATATTTCTGTTTGGTAATGGTAATAACCACATACAATCTGAGCAATTGTTCCCCCAATAAAATCAAAAACAGTCATTAAAGACCAGCTTCATCTGTCTCGTTCACCTACAACGAGCTTCATAGCCATCGACTTGCAATGTCCTCGCACCGCAGGAATTCAATTCCAATTGAGCACTGTCCTCAATCCATTTCTAAAACCCTCATGGTTCATGACCGCTCCCAAAATCAAAGATCATCTTGATCTAATGGGATGGCTGATTGGATTAAGGATGTGATCAAATAAAAAAGTAAGGATCCCACTATTTAGCGCCCCCTTGGCAGATATCCGGTGCCCCTTGGGTTTTGATCAATACCCGCGCGGCCCGTCAAAACCCAAATATTTTAAGCGTAAGCCGGACCTCTGGGGCGCCTTGAGGGCTCCTTAAGCGGGCACAACTTCACAGATGAGCCCTGTTTTTACCTTTTTGATGCCCTTCCATCACCTCGATGGGGCAACAACTGGCAACAAAGATCATTAAAACCAACAAAAGGGCTCCTAAGTTGTTTTGCGCCCGGACCGGCCCCATGACTACACAGACATTGGCCCCTCAAGCCATGGAAGCATACCGCAGAGCGTACCCTTACACATGTAGTAGGCCCCCCTCTCCGCTCTCCCCTATCTCAAACTTGTTTCCTTCCTACCCATCTTTGAACAATCCCTTCATCGCTCTCAGATTGCTCTCATGCCTCCCGATTCTCCGTCTCTTACCCGCAATACTCGATTCAACCCAAAAAAAGCACGACCGGATGCTTTGAGCACGCGAACAAACACGATGACTACCGATTTCAACGGATCTTGATCATATTACTTCTGTCAAAGCTGGGACCATTAACTGGAATAGTTTGGATGAAACATATCATGATTATCATTCTTCTACTCAATGAACAATATTTAAAAGACAATCTGGAAAAGATCTGGGCATTTGGACCTAGACGAATTGGACCGAATGTGTCATCAGATCAATTACCTTGTTCAAATCAATTGTAAGTGTGTTTTTCAATACGATTTGAATTTGGTGTATAACAAGTTTACTAAGGTGTGCGTTTTTGTTTAGAAATAAAACACTGAACTAAACAAAAACCAGATTCATCACTCGTATCAGAATCATCATCTCTATCAACGGACACAGATCAAGATGATGAATCCAGTTCAGCTAGTATAGATGTACGTGATATTGATGAATTGATTGAAACTGCATTTCAATTAACCACACTCAAAGGACTACTATGTGCAGAACCATTATCAGGGATGAGTTTTTCAATTCAAAATTTATAACTTGATCTTACTAAAACTTCCGTAGAATCAAGTAAGTTGTTCTATTAATTCAAAAGATAGAGATCAAAGTGGTTCTTGAAGTTTGATTTTTGTATTTTTTTCAGTTCGATCTAGATGGTCACAAAGTATATGCAGTCGTATCTGGAAGAAAAGGAGCCATAATTTCAGAAGACATTGAGTATGGAACAACATTTTATAGTCCAAAAGCTAAATTACCAATAATTGAATCATTTGGATTTGATGATGAATTAATGTCAAATGAAACGAGTTCAGGCGGACTGAATGTCTACGCCAAAGATGGGATGTACCTGGACAGAACAGGTAGTTTGAGTTCTATGTGAACTCGTAAGGTAGGAAAGAAGGGCGGAAGGTTCGACGCCTCACCTGGACAGAACAGGTAGTTTGAGTTCTATGTGAACTCGTAAGGTAGGAAAGAAGGGCGGAAGGTTCGACGCCTCACCTGCGAATAGCAGGATGAAAAGAAAGTGGTAGGAAGATCTCGAGCTTCAGTTTCCACACGGTCGTAATTCATTCACACACATCAAGCAAAAATAAAGAAAGAAAAAGACTAGTTTAAGATAGACAAGAGAAATGAGTAATCACCTGGACAGAACAGGTAGTTTGAGTTCTATGTGAACTCGTAAGGTAGGAAAGAAGGGCGGAAGGTTCGACGCCTCACCTGCGAATAGCAGGATGAAAAGAAAGTGGTAGGAAGACTATCGTAGAGAATGAGTAACGCGCCAGAGTAAGACACACACATTAGTA